TATAATATAGGTAGTGTGTTGTATATATGTACACTGGGGCGCGGCGCTCAAAGGAGAGACCGGCGCTTCACGAGCCCAGGCAGCTGTCTGTACACCTCAACAGGCCCCACAGGCCATCCATGTTGAGGTGGGCTCTCCTCAGTTTGCTTGAAGTGGCCGTTTAGGGATCCTTCCTTTTCTCACGTATGCGGGAGTTGCTGCTGCTGTTGCTGCTGTCGCCGCTGCAGCAGCAGGCCCAACGCCCTGCTGTTTATACGTTTAAAGGCGCATGCAGGACAAGCTAGGAGCTGTCGTCTCTCAACACATCAGCCCTAGCCACCAGCTAGCTAACGAGCTAGCCAGCTAGCTAGCTAGCTAGCTAGCCGCCAGCCTCCCCCGCCGCCTCCGGCAGCTAGCCAATGGGCTCTGCGGTGCTGGGGAGGAGGCAGGAGCGGACCTTTTATTTTCGGTGTTGGCTAGCTCGCTGCCGCTGAGCCACCAACTAGCTGGCCTTGGCTGGCCAGCTGGCAAGCTAGCTACGCAGCCGGCGAGCTAGCAAACCTTGGCCCTCGATGGCTTGCTGCCTTCAGTCGAATTTCGCCTGAAGTAGAAGGAATGGCTCAGATTAGCTGCCCCACGGGTAGAGAAGGCAGAATGTAGGGTGGGGGATGCTGCTGCTGCTGTAGCAAGCATACACACCACTGTAGTCAGGAGTAGGGGGAGAATAGTTGGTGCTAGCTATTCAAGAGTCAGGCCTTTCTGAGTAGCGGCGTTATGCCCACGCTGGCTATGCCAGCCAACTACCTAGGTGGCTGGTTATTCGCTAATTTGGTGTGGCTAGCTAACTAGCTAGCTCGCTGTCGGGTAAAATGGAAGCTGTCCAGCTGCAAATTTAAGCTAAAAAAACCGAAGTCTCCGCGACCTCCGAAAAGGCCTGGGGACGGCGCTGCCAGGACGGCTGTACAACCGGATGAAGCAGCAGCACCGGCTGCTCCTACTGCTCCTGTTGCTGCAGTAACAGAAGCTGGAACATCAGCACAAGCAGCTGCCCATTCAGGATCCCCCCACAGCTCTTTGTGTGGCTGCTGCAGCAGGAGCAACAGACGCTGCGCATAGGAACGTGTCCTCTTTGTTTTGCTGCGTCACTGCTGCTGCTGATGCTGCTGCTTCTGCTGCTGCTGCTGCTGCCTACTCTAGGAAGTCTTCGTCAAGAGGTTCCTGTTCAGCATCTAAGGCACAATGGCGCAGCAGTTCTTCATGTGTCGGAAGAGAAGGAGAAAGCGCACAGATGCTGGGGCTGCTGCATGCAGTAGCGCATGCAGTTGTACTGCAGTCGCTGCTGCTGTCTCCCCAGCCATTGGCGTCATCCTTCCTTAAGAAACCTAGAGGCCCCCCAAACCAACCCTTCTGAGTGTGACGTCTGGTGTTGCTGCTGCTGCAGACAGCAGAGAAACCCTGACGAGAAGGAGGAGGTATAAACACCAACAACAGCAACTGGGCTATGCCAACACATAAACCTGCAAAAGCAAACAGCAGCAACAACAGCAGCAGCAGAAGCAAAATTAATGGGTATATGACAATTCGGGCCTAAAGGAGCAAAAGGATGAATAACAAAAAAGAGGCAGGGGCTGTCCATAGCCTGTTGGCTTTTGAATAGCTAGCTAAGAAGCGGCACAGCTAGCTACATAGAAAGGTATCTAGATAGCTAAATATCTATCAAGACAGGCAAACAGCTAGCTAGACAGATAAATTCCTAGCTAGGCAGATACCGGGCCGGCATATTGAGCTTGCATTTTGTCTGTAGGGAGCCTTACCTAAGAGGTTAGGGAGTACGATGAAGAGATCCCCCACCATACAGCCGTAGATGAGCCATAATAAGGAACAAATAAAATTACCAGCAGACACCTCAGCAGGCATGCATGCTGTTGTTTGCTCCTTTAATACTACTCGCAACGAGGCCAAGGGGGAGGCGTATGACAACACATTCACGGCAGCTGAGCAACCCAACAACCACACAGCACAGCACGACACGGATCGATGTCGGGATCGACCGGGATCGGGATCGATCAAGATCGATCGGGATCAGTATTGATCGGGATCGATTTGGGCGAGCGAGATCGATCGGGCGGTGGGATCGATCTAGATTTGTGGGGATCGATCTGGATCGATGGGGATGGACGTGGATCGATGGGGATCGGTCCGGTCGGGATCGGGTTCGAACAACAAATACAGCAAGCACCTCCCATGCATACACTGCACTATGTAGAGGAGGAGAACAAATTGAGGGGAGGGCAGCCACAAAACCCCAAAGGAAAACAGCAGGCACTAACAGCAATCTGCTAGATATATAGGCACGCACTACAGAGAAAGCAAATAAATAAAGAAGACAAATAAATAGAGGGACAAGGAAAGGGTAAAGAGAGGACAGAAGCAAAAAAAAAAAAGTAACGAGAGAGTCAAAGGCAGGAAGAAGCGAAGAAAAACAGAAACAACGAAACGCACAAACAAACAGAGGAAGCACCAAACAAACAAAGAAGGAAGACAGCAGCAGCAGCAGCAGCAGCAGCAGGGGAGTCTTTAATTAGTAAGCTTACAAGCAACAAGTCCTACAATAAGTTCTGCTACATTTAGAGGAAATGCAAGACAAATAAAAATTAAAATAATTAAAATTGCTGCTCCTCCTTTTAGATAAAAAGATAAAAGAAATCGTTGCTTCTCTCCTCTTGTTGTATTTGCCCAAAATGTTAACACAAACCATCCACCTGTATACACACACAGACACAAACACAATTGCTGGTGCTGGTGCTGTTGCTGCTGCTGCTCCGGGGGTGGCTAAAGATAGCTCTGCTGCTGGTGGTGTTGATGATGATGATTGTAAAGATAGCACTGGTGCTGCTGCTGCTGCCAAAGATAGTCCCTGTGTTGCTGCTGCTGCTTGTTGCAGCAGGCAAGACTGCCACCTCAAGCAAACCCTCTGGACAAGAATTTCCTCCCACCCTCCCTCCTCATTTAGGATTTCGGCTTTTTAGGGTTTAGTATTTAGTGTCTAGTGCTTAGGGTTTAGGGTTTAGGGTTTGGGGTTTAGGGTTTAGGGTTTAGGGTTTGGGGTTTAGGGTTTAGGATTTAGGGTTTACAAATTACCTGCTATAACACCTGATACATTAGGGAGTAAGATGGTGGGGTCTACCCTTAATATGCCGTAGAGGAGCCACAAACAGGCGGAGAAAAATAAACTAAAAAAAGGAAGAGACGATAAACCTAATGTACTGTTGCATGTAGCTATTCTGCACACAGCAGCAGCAGCAGCAACAGCATCAGCAACCGCAAACAGAGATGCAGAAGAAGCAAGGAAAGGGAGACGCAGAAACACACACAACAGCAGCAGCAGGAACAGCACCTCCAGCGACAGCAAGCAGGACTGCCGAAGTGCTACTAACTAGGGGAGGCAGCACCACGCTCAGCAGCAGCAGCAGCAGCAGCAGCAGCATCACCAGAACCCCTCCAGCAAGCTTTTTTTAGGGGCCCTCAAAAGCAACAGCAGCAGCAGCAGCAGCAGGTGGAGTTTACCGTGCAATTGTCGGTAGGGGTGTGAGCTGCATCAGCACAGCAGCAGCAACAGCAGCAAAACGAACAGCACCCTTTAATCTTTCTGCTAGTGCACCAGGTAAATAGGAAAGAGAAGATAAAGCAACAGATAAGGAAGAGTCATCATCGTTATCTGCTGCTTCTGCTTCTCCAGCTGCTGCTGCTTCTGATGCTGCTTCTGCATCTGCTGCTTCTTCCGTTGCTGCTGCTGCCGCCGCCGCTGCCTTCTCTGCTTCTGCAGCTGGAGTTGCAGGAGAGCTGGTGACGTCTGCTTGCAAAAGGCCAGTAGACACAGCATCTGCAGCAGCAGCAGCAGCTGCTGCTGCTGCTGCTGCCTTCTGCGCACTGTCCGCAGCTGCCGCAGCCGCAGCAGCCTCCTGCTGCTGCTGCCTCTGCTCCTGATCCTGCTGCTGCAGTTGTTCCTGCCCCTGCTCTACAGATGGTACAAAAGATGATGAAGGTCCTGCTGCTGCAGCAAGCATTGCTGCAGCCGCAGACTCCGCAGTAGAAGGCTCCTCTCCACTTGAGGGGGGGCGTTCTGTTGCTGCTTGTGGTGGTGTTGCTGCAGCGGCAGCAGCATCGGACTGCTCTGGAGCTCCTATAGACACCTTTGACACCGGTGCCGCGTGTTCAGTGCCTTCAATAGCAGCAGCATCAGGTACTGTTGCTGTTGCTGCTGTTGCTGCTGCTGGTTTTACTGCCTCAGGCGTGGCTGAGGGCGCGTCAGCAGCAGAAGTTGCAGCAGCACCTGGGATTAAAAAGAAATGCTGCTGCTGCTGCTGCTGCTGAGTCTGAAGCAGCAACAGCAGCAAAGGCAACAGCAGCAGCATCTGCGGCAGCTGCCATACACAGCAGCGGCGTGGCATCCTTAGACGATTGGCCAGTGTCTGCTGCTGGGATGTGCTGCTGCAGCTGCAGGTTGTTGCTGCTGTGCCTGCAGTCTGCTGCAGCTGTTGCTACTGCTGCTAATGCGGGCTGCCAGTACGGAAGCTAAGACGATGTGCAGTGAATGCTGCTGCAGCTACTTTGGCTGCTATAGACGAGACCGCAGAGTCAGTGGGTTGCTGGCAGCAGGTGCTGCAAAGGATATTCCGCTGCTGCTGCTGGTGGTGTTGCTGCCGCTGCTGCTATGGCTGTTGTTGTACACCAGCAAGAGCTGAATGCGTTTCGCCCACTTTGGGGAGGAATGTGAAATGAGGCTGCTACTGCGGCGGGAGTTGCTGGAGCTGCTTCTGTTCCTGCTGCAGCGGCTGCTGCTGTTGCTGCTGCTGCGGGAGCAAACACGCAGTTGCTGCAGCGGCACGGGGAAGATAAATTGGGAAGTTATAGGCAGGAAAACTTGGGCTTTTGTCGCCGGCACAAGCATCTGCTGTTGCTGCTGCTGCTGCGGCTGCTGCTGCTCCGCTAGCAGGCCGCTGGTCCTGCAATGATGAGGCAGCAACTGCAGCAGCAGCAACAACACAGCAGCAAAGAGACAAGCCAAAGACAACGAGGAGGAAATAAATTGTTTATGAGTAGCTTCTGAGGGTAAAGATGTAAGATAAGCCCCTCATTGCTGCTGCTGCTGCTGCTGCTGCTGCTGCTGCTGCTGCTGCACGCTGGAAGCCATCAACTGGAAGCCCGTCGATGCTGAAGGTCCTGCAGCGGCTGCTGCTGCCGCTGCTGCTGCTCCTGCGTCTGCGGGGGGTATTGCTTTCCTTACAAAAATAAGAGGAGCCAAAATTATCTCCGTATTTACCTTAATTTGCTTCTGCAGCAGCAACAGCAGCAGCACTACCGTGTGCTGCAGCTCCTAGTGCTGCTGCGGCTGCTGCCACTGCTCGAGCCTGGGCTCTGCCTGGGCGCGCAGCAATTATCAAGCAGCAGCAGCAAATGCTGCTGCTGCTGCTGCTGTTTTCCTCTTTTAAACGGCAGCAAAACCTCTTTAGCAGAAGTGCAACCCCCCATCACCTTGTATTCTGCTGCTGCTGCAGTCGGGGGAGGAGCGGCATCGATTGTCTCCAAGAGCAGCAGCAGCAGCACCAGCTGCTGCTGGTGGAGCAGCAGCAACAGTAGACCTTCGTAGCAGTTAGGGGTTGCCATAATAACAGCAGCAACTGCAGCAGCGGCAGCAGGAGCCGCAGGAGGAGGACCAGCGGCGGCAGTAGGAGCAGAGGGAGCTACAGCAGGGGCATCGGAAGCTGTTGAAGTTCCACAGGGAGTTGCTTGTGCGGCGACGGCGGCGGCAGCAGTAGCAACTTCAGCAACTGTATAAGCAGCAGCAGCAAATCTAGCAACAACTGCAACAGCACACAGAACAGGGGCTTTCTCTCATTCCTCCCCTCCTTCCGCAGCACACTAGCTGACTTGACTAAAGCAGCAAAGGTATGCTGCTGCAGCAACTGTCCCTGTAACAGCATGGCTAGCAGTAGCAGCAAATGTAGTGGGGGTGGTGGCACTGTTAGCAGCAGCAGCAGTAGCAGCAGCAGCGGCAGGAGCACGAACAGGAAAAACTCGGGCAGCGTCAGCATCAACCGCAAACTCGCGGCAGCCCCGACGCCTCCTGCGCCTTCAGCGGCAGCAGCAGCATGCAGGTGCGGACAGAGGCAGCAGCTGCTGCTGCTGAGTCAGCAGTAGCAGCAGCAACTGCAGCAGCGGCAGAAGCTGCTGCAATAGATGCCTCCCACCAGGACCAGACTGCGCAACACGAAATGCCCCCTCTCCTCGAGTCTTCAAGGAACAGCAACAGCAACAGCAACAGCAGCAGCAACAGCAGCAGCAGCAGCAACAGCAGCAAAGCCTGCTCAAGCCCCAGCAGCTCTGCCAGCGGCAGCAGCGATGTGCTGTGTACACCCAGCAGCAACAGCAGCAGCAGCAGATGGAGGACCCGCTGCAGGGAGACAGAGATAGGAATGCGGCTAATGCTGCAGCCAGCAGAAGTGTTGCTAGATCGAACAACAGCGCTGCTCGCTGCACTAGCAGAGCCTGAGGTGTATCGGCAGCATTGGGCAGCAATAAGTCCCGCTGCGTGCAGCAGCAGCAGCAGTTGCTGCTGCTGCTGCTGCAAGAACGGCTGCAACAAGAGCTGGAAAGGTAGCGGAGGCGGTTGTTGTGTTAGGGGATATGCGTGCAGAAGCAGTAACAGCAACAGCAGCAACAGCAGCAGCAGCAGCTGGACTGATCAGCACCGAAGATACAGCTGCAGCGGCAGCAGCTGCAGCCTTCCTGTGCCTCCTCACCCTGAGAGCCCTTCGGTAGATTTGCTGCCATTATTTTTGTGTCGAGGTGATGCAGCGGCAGCAGCAGCAGCGGCAGCAGCAGAACGGCACAGCTTCTTGCCTGCTGCTGCTGCAGCAGCTGCTGTACCGCTGAGGGACGCAGACGATGTCGCTTGCTATTGCCTGCGCCTGGATTTCCTCGGGGGGCAGCACGAGGCAGCAGCAGGAGATAATGCTGCGGCAGAGAAGGGTCAGCAAGAGCAACAGCAGCAGCAAGAAGCACCAGCCCCCTGCAGTGGTTGCTGCAACAGCTGCTGCTGCTGTCGTCCCGCCATATGGACAGCGGAAGGACTTCCTTTTGAGCCTTGCCTCTTCGAAGGGCCTGCGGCAGAAGAGACGCATCACTACCAGCAGCAGCAGCAGCAGGAGCAACAGCAAGAACAACAGCAAGAACAACAGCAAGAACAACAGCAGGAGCAGCAAGAGGATCATCAGGAGCAACAGCAGCAACAGCAGCAACAGCAGCAACAGCAGCAACAGCAGCAAGCTGCTGCTGCTGTTGCATTCGCCGATGATTTGGTAGCCCGCGATATTCCCCCCATTACTTTTTTGGGTCCTCCACCTGCTTGGATGTCTGTACACCTAAGGCGAGACGATCATACGCATACAACAGCAGCAACGGCAGCAGCGGCAGTGGCAGCAACTGCTAGAATGGATGCCTCTGGGGCACCAGCACAGCAGGCGACAACGGCTGCAGCAGCGTCTATGGCGGAAGCAGCAGAAACAGATGCTACCGCTGCTGCATCTTCCCCTGCTGTACCTGCTACTGCTGCTGCTTCTGGTGGCGTCGAGGTGTTCGATCCCGTGGCGTTCCCCACCCGCCTCTACGGCTACCACATTGGCAGACGGTTTGCTGCAGCAGCGCGTGACTCCGCGGTGCTGCTAAGAAGGCAGCAGAGGATGCAGCGGAAAGAAGCAGCAGCAGCAGCGGCGGAAGATTTGGCCTGCCTCAAAACGGAATCGGTAGAGGTTATCCCCGAATCGCAAAGGGTGCATGCGCCGAGCAGCGAGAACAGCAGCAACAGCAGTAGCAGCAGCAGCAAGCTTGTGCGGTGCATGTGTAGTTGCTGCGTTGCTGCAGACTCGCTGCTGCAGTTGCTAGAGTCAGATCCCCCCACTTTCGTAGCAGTTGGCAGCAGCAGTATTGGCGGAGGCAGCTGCAGCGGCAGGGGCCGGAGCTGTTACGTGTACCAGGGTGCTGCTGCTGGTGCGGGAAGCTACAGCAGCACCAGCACAAGCAGCACCACCAGCAGCAGAGGCATAGGCTCTAGCAGCAGCAGGTCTTTAAAGGCTTCAGCTAACCTTAGAGAAGGAGTTTGGCTGCTTCGAACAGCAGCAGGAGGGAAGCCGTTTGCTGCACAAGCGGTGTTGCACCTGCGGGTACCTGGGTTGCTGTTACTTCATGCAGCCCGCCGTCGCCAGATGCTGCAGCAGCTGCAGCAGCAGCACTCGTACAACACCAGTTTCACCACCACCACCACGTCCACTACAGCCAACACCAAAGATGGAGTGTTGGGGGAGCTCTGCTGCTGCTGCTGTGCTGATAACACTGTCGACTGGCCACTGCATCCGAAACAAAGCAGCAGCTCCAGCGGCACCACCAGCACCAGCAGCAGCAAGGAAACGCAGCAGCAGCAACAGCAGCAACAGCAGCAGCGCCCTGTGCTGTTGCACACTCACAACACGCAGGTAGATATATCTCTTGTCAAGCTGTTGCTGCTGGATGTACACCGTACCTCCCCAGACGAACCGCAGGGCCGCGTGCTACGACGGCTGCGGCGGATGTGCTTGACATGGTTCCGATGCAAGAAGATGGCGTTGCTGCTGCAGCGAGAGCAGCAGCCGCAACAGCAACAGCAACAGCAGCAACATCTCCAGCAGGCGGAGACAGGAACTATGCTGGGATTGTCGGCGGCCCACCAGGACAGCTCAAGAACAGCACCAACAACAGCGGCGGCAACGACTGCTGCTGCTGCAACCGCAGCAGCAGCAGCAAGGTCGCTGCTGCATATAAAGGACAAATTCTGTCTCCCAAGCCTGCCTAACCAGACCTTGCGCGTCCTCCTCGCCGATGCTGCAGTTGAAGGTTAGTTAGAGATACATTGCATCTAGATAGCCAGTAGCTAGCCAGGATATAGCTAACAGCTAGCTAACAGACCAATAGTTGATGTAGGATGTGTCAGTGGTGCCCTCCGTCTATGAGCTTGGATAGACAGCTGTGCAGCAGCATTCGTGCTCTTCCAGTGGCAGTGTCGCAGCAGCAGCAGCAACGACAGCAGAGCCAGCAACACCAGCAGCAGCAGCAGCCACAGTGCTTGGCTGTAGTTTCCTAGTTACCGGTAGTTTGTCTTTGTTATTTGTTGGGGTGTATGTGCAGCTTCATATGCCGAGGAATTGTCTGAAGTTGCTGGAGGCCTCATCGAACGTCTCCGCAGATTGGCGCGCCCCTTGCTGCTACAGGCTTGCTGCTGCAGCAGAGATGCAGCGGCAGACGAGCGAGACACCAGCAGCAGTAGCAGCAGTAGCAGCTTCAGGAAACCAGAACAGCTTGTAGCAGTGGGTCTGAGGTGGCGGGAGGACTTCTTTTGTTTTGAGTTGTATGCTGCTGCTGCCTCTCCACACCAGCAGCAGCAGCAGCAGGAAGGCAACGGCGATGGTCAAAGCAGGAAGGACCTCTCCTGGTCCCTGCTGCTGCACGAGGTGCTGCAGCCCTGTGTCTTTGATGCGGTGTCTGTACATCTTACCTTCTGCCAGGCCTTACGTCGCCTGTCTCCGTGGCTGCAGCTGCAGCAGCAGCCTCTGCGGCTGCTGCGGCACACGGCTGAGGGACAGCAACTACTGCTGGCAGCGGGCCTGCGCTCGTGTGGCTTCGTGGAACAGCTGCTGCAGCGGCAACACCAGCAGCAGCAGCAACAACAACAACAACAGCAGCAACAACAACAACAACAACAGCAACAACAACAACAACAACAAGAACAACAAGAACAACAAGAACAACAACAACAACAGGAGGAGCAGCAGCAGCAGGAGCAGCAGCATAAGCAGCCACAGGCACCTGAAGGCTGTCTAGATACGGACACAGAGGGGGGCTTATCTCCCCTCTTACGGCATCAGAGCAGCGAGGGCTTTCAGTGGCTTGCGGCTGCTGCAGCAGAAGATGCTGCTGGCCCAGTGGGGGATCACGCGTCCCCTGCTGCTGCTGGAAGGGACACGACAGTTGTTGCTGCTTCTGGCGCTGATGTGGAGGCAGTGGGGGCCGTAAATCTCGATGAGGCGCTGCAGCGGCTGGCACTTCTTAACAAACCCCTTGCGCATGCTGACAGCAGCGCGCCGGAGGAGTCTACCGCCGATCAGGCTCAACAACGGCAGCAGCAGCAGCAGCAGCAGCAGCATGGGCTTCAGAACGTGAAGCAGGAGAAGGAGGTGCCTGAAGCCGCAGGCGAAACGGTCGCAGCTGCAGCCCCATTGACAGGGCTGGAGGGCTCGATGTTCTCACAGGAGGCACAACAGCAGCAGCAGCAACAACAAGAGCAGCAGATACAGCAGCAGGTGCCGCAGCAGCAGGAGACGCAGCAACAGCAGCAACAGCAGCAACAGCAGCACGACCAGAAACAAGAAGCTGCTGCAGCAGAGGAAGACATCATTTCTTATCTTAAGAGTGTAAGGCAGCTCCAAAGAGCAAAGCACAGCTCAGGCGGCCTCTTGTGCTGCAGCAGCAACAGCAGCACATCGGCGACCTTCGAGGGGTCTGCTGCATGCGCAGTTGTGCTGCAGCACCTGGAGAAGGAGGCGCAGCAGCAGCAACAGCAACAGAAGCAGCCACCGTATCGTGTAGGTTGCAGCTGCTGTTGCAGCTCTAAAAAGCAAGAGGCGTATGCAGCAGCAGCAGCAGGAGAATTGCGGCAGAGCAAGGAGCCGACGACGCGTGGGTTGCTTGAGGCAATTGCTGCTCCACTGCAGCAGCAGCAGCAGCAGCAACACGAACAGCAGCAGGTGCAGCGGCAGCAGCGGCATGTACCGTCTTACACTTGCGAATACCTCGGGGTAACCGACATGGCTGCAGGAGACACCCTGACTCTTTCTTTGCTACTGACGCTGTTGCTGCCGACCCAGCGGATGCTGCTGCCGCAAGGGCAATTGGGGGCGATGCGGCATGCTTGCTGCTGTTGCACTGGTGCGGCAGATGCTGCAGCAGCGGCCGGCGCAGCAACACCAGGAACAGCAACAACAGGAGCAACAACAACGTCGGCTGGCGTGCTGCAGCCCCTCGGTGATAAAAGCCCAGCTTGGGGCAGTGCTTGCTGCTGCACCAACAGAATGTGTCGCTGCTGCCGCCGCAGCAGCAACAGCAGTAGCAGCAGCAGCCAGAAAAATGGATATGCTGGATCGTCAGCGTCTCGCCTGATTATTCTTGCCCCGGCCTCAGGGGGAGGGGAGGAAGCAGAGGAGACAATGCATGCATCTGATGTACTGGGGCCGTTGCTGCTGTCGCAGCAGCAGCGGCAGCAGCAGCAGCGGCAGCAACAGCAGCAGCAACAGACACCTGCTGACGATGAAGCAGTAGGCCACGCAGGTGAGGAGAGCACCAAGCCTAGCACGGCCCTCTCGAGCACAGAGGCAGGCAGCAGCAGCAGCAGCAAAAGCAGCAGCAACAGCAGCAGCACCACAGGTACTCTATGGGCGCGCACTGTGAGCGGAAGCGTCTCCTTGAGAATAACATCGGCGGAGGAGGGCAGCAGCGGCGTAGACAGCGACAGTGAAGGGAAGCTCTCATCGCCGTTGCAGCAGCAGCAGCAGCAGGACCAGGAGCAGCTGCCGTCAGCAGGTTCCTCTCCGCTCCCAGATAACGTTGCAGGGCCACTTGGCTGCGATGTCGGTAGCGGTATTTCTAAGAGCAGTAACAGCAGTAACAGCAGCAACAGCACCAGTAGCAGCAGCGACGCCCATTCAAATGAGAATCGTATGGATGTGCTGCTAGCAGCTCTGCGGCAGTTAGTTGGATTTGTAAGGAAAGGCGCAGAAGTTGATTTTGGATTTCCTGTCGCAGCAGAACTCATTGAGGAAGCAGGAGACGAAATACATGCTATATGCAGAGGTATGTCGTTATTTCGCTAGCTAGCTAGCCGGACAGCTAGCTAGTTTGTTGGTTAGATGGGCTAGATAGCTTGCTGCTCATTGGGGCACAGAGGCAGTGGGCCTTCTGTGAGCACGAACTTCCGCTGGCTAGCTGGATAGCTAGCTAGGTAGTTTACTGCTTTCCCCTGTTGTTCCTGCATTTGGTGTGTTGCGCATTCAGTTCCAGCTAATGACAGGGCGCCTTCGCCGTTACGGCCCTTAACTACCGCAGCAGCTGCAGCAGCAGCAGCAGCGACTGGTGTTCCTATTGCGGGGAGCAGCAACCAGCAGCAGCAAACGCACTATCAGCAAGACTTAGCAGCCACAGGAGAAGGTGGGGAGATGATCGAAGGCCCCCGCGGCGCTGCTGCATCCTCCAACATTTCCGTACAGCAGCAGCAACAACAACAACAACAGCAATCGGAGCTTCGGCTGCTGCCAGCGCTGTTCGCTGGCCTCTACCGTACGGGTGCCGCAGCAAAGCGTCGTTTGTTTCCACGTCATCGCGTTGTCACAGCAGCAGCTGCTGCTGCTGCTGCTTCTGGAGCCAGTGGTCCTACTTCTCATTCTAGGGGCCGTAGGCAGCAGTCCTCATCTCCTAGCCACAGGCAGCTGCAGCAACAGCAGCAGCAACAGCAGCAGCACCCTGCCCAGCAGCACCAAGGTGTGTCTCAGCGTCATGGTGGAGTTTCTGCAGCAGTGAAGGATGAGAGTTCGCTGCTGCGTCCTGCTGCAGCGGGCAGCAGCAGCAGCGGATCCAAGGGGCCTCACTCAGGCCGCAGCGGCAACCGCAGCGGCAGCAACACACCCACAGGCGTCTACTTCGATGCAGCTCGGCAGCTATGGAGGTGTCAGTGGAGGTCTGAAGGGAGGCTGCGCAGCAAAGGGTTTGCTGTTGCTCGTTATGGCAGCTCGGAGGAAGCAAGAGAGGCATGCATTGCCTATAGGGAGCTTGTAGTGCAACAGGGAGCAGCAGCAGCAGAAGCTGCAGCAGAAGCTGCAGCAGCAGCCGCAGCAGCAGGCGGCACACGAGCCAGTCCAGCCACAGACAGACCCTCAGGAGTAACAGAAAGGCATTTGCAAACACCCACAGGGCAGTTAGCTGCTGCCCCAGCAGCAACAACAGCAACTGCAGCAGCAGCTGCACCAGAGCTCCGACAACAGAGCCGAGAGAGATCGTCACCCAAGGGCAAGACTGTAGGAGGCAACACAAGCAGCAGCAGCAGCAGTAGTAGCGAGAGCGGCAGCAACAGCAGCTCTTGTGATAACATTGCTGCTCTCCCGGCGCTTTATCATGATAGCTTGCTGCAGCAGGCAGCAGCGCAAACAGCTCCTGTTGCCGCTGCAACGACAGCAGCAGCTGCTGGTGCTGTGGCTGGTGCACCTCAGCTTGCAAATGCAGTGCAGGATGCAGCAGCAGGCGCTGTCTCTGTTCTGCTGGCAGAAACTGGATGCAACGACGGCAGCAGCAGCAGCGGCATATTGGCATCGCAGCAGCAGCAGTTGCCTGCTGCAGCTGCTCTTGCTGCTCCTGCACCAACAACAGCAGCAGCAGCAGCAGCGCTGCAGGGGGAAAAGCTAATCGAATTCGCTGGGGACATCCTGTCTCTGTTAAATCGTGCAAGGGAAGTGGCGGCAGTGGAGAAGCAGCTGCATGAGCAGCGTATTAAGCTGCAGCAGCAACAGCAACAAGAGCAAGAGCAACAGCAACAACAGCTGCTGCTGCAGAATCAGGCAGAGCAGCAGGAACTGCAGCCTACCAGCGTGGCAAACGTACCAACAGACACCGATAGGGCGCAGCTACGGCGGCTCCTTGTGTCGCACTTGGAACATGCGTTGCAGCAGCAGCAGCAGCGCATGCAACAGTTGCAGCTACTTGGTGATATAGATCTCCGACAGCAGCAACCGTTAGGGGAGGACGGGGCCTTGCAGCAGCAACAGCAGCAAATGCTCCTTCATAGGGTTGCTGCTCTAAGCAGCCAGGCCGTCCAACAGCTGCAGGAGGTGCTGCAGACATTGCTGCTGATCCCGGCGCCGCAGCAGCAGCAACACCAACAGCAACAGCAACAACAGCAGCAACCGCAGGAGCAGCTTGGAGTGGAGACGTTGTTTCCATGGGATTGCCCTTCAGCAGGTGCAGCGTCAGCAACAGCACCAGCAGCAGTAACAGCAGGAGCGACACCCGATGTGGAGCAGCAGCAGCAGCAGCAGCAGGGAACCTGCGACTCTGCTGCAGCAGGTGAGGGGCCGCAGAAACAGAAAAGGGAGGAGATGGGCCCTGCAGCAGCAGCAGCAGCAGCAGCACAAGAAGGCATGGGACCAACGAAAAGGCTCCGCTTAACTTTTTGACAGTTTGATGTTTTGTATGTCTCTTTTTGAATGTTACTGCCTTTGCTGCAGCAGCAGCAGCTTTTCTAGCTGCAGTAGCAGCAGCAGCAGCAGCAACAACACCAAATGCAGATGCAGATGCAGCAGCCGTAGTAGATGCGGAGGTTCAGCAGGCCCTAGTAAAGCCCTATATGCATTCATGCATGCACACGCATGCATGCATGCATGCAAGCATCTCAGGGCCGATGGGCCATATGTTGAGCTCAGGCGTCGTCGTCCTTACTTGGACATTACAGCTGCAACTGCTGCTACTGCGACAGCAGCAGTAGCTGCAGCAACAGCAGCAGCAGCAGCAGCAGCACTTTGATGTCTTTGTTGGTACTCTAATGTGCTTGTGCATCGCGTGCTTGAGGGCTTCGTGTGTTGAAGCAGAACCTGCATGTATGTATGTATGCATGCATGCATACATACATACATAAATGCATGCATGCATGCACGCATGCATGCATGCACGGCATCAGTTGAAGCCCTTTTTTTGTATGAATATTTTGGGGCTGTCTTCGCTGGCCGACAGTCCAACTGTGCAGCGTGAACAGTGAGTAGTGTTTTTATTAAATTGTGGAGTCAAACCCAAGAGAAGACGAACCAGACAGGGGAGGAAGGAAGGGGGGAAGGGGAAGGGGGAGGGGGGG